GTTGGATATGAGATGATTATAGCCAACTCGGCGCTACGCGCCTCGTTTGCTATCTATCATCTCATATCCAACGCGCGCTCGTGGAATAATTGTTAAATATTCAGTGGCGCTTAACAGTATCGTGAGGTTGAGATCGGAAGTCAGCATTTTTATCAGGCGCCAAATACCAGCTCCCATTTATCGTAGACTTAAGATATATTTACCTTTGAGAAGTTGATCTTAAGTCATGATATTCTTCTCTCTTCTCACCACCTTTCTGTATGAAAATGTATTGATGCCGTAAGGAGAAATTTGTTTTTGGTTACTACTGAGAGTGGACGGGTTAAATATAGCAAGTTGGTCGATAGTGCAGAAAACTCCGTAAAAACTCCGGGAAAATATTGCGAGGCGACAATAAACGAGGAAAACAAAATAAAATCTATGAGAAGTGGGAAGGGGATCTTTTTGAAATAATATGATTTATGTACATGTTTATTTATTTTTATTTTATTTATGTACATAGTTTTTATTTATTTATTGTATCATTTCTAGATCAACTAAACAAGATCAGGTGGTGTATACAGGACCAGTGAAAGACAATATAGACATTTTGGAGTCGATTGGTCCCGAAGTGGTCACGACACTGACGGTATGAAAGATTATTTTCTTTGACGCTTTTCGATCGAATGTCACAGAACGCTCAATTGAAATTCAATTGAAAATTGTTCAAGAATGCATGCTATTTTTACAGTGAGTCACGACCCGTCACCCGGGTCATATTTTCACGCTCTTGGCTTTGTTCTGATTACATGTTTCCCGCGCTTCGCACCACACTAATCACAAAGGTTTTCATCGAGCTCTGTAGAATCATTGATGTCCAATAGCGTCTTCTTACTATGAGACATCCTTTCTTTCCCCCCCCCCCTTCGTAGCTTTAGCTTTTCTTTTTTGTTCTCTTTTCCCTTCTACCTCTCCATCTAGTAAAATACCATGTAGGAAAACAGTTTCATAATAGTTTCACAGAAACGTCTTCTTTTAGAATTGCAATATATTTAATAGCTTGTCGGAATTATATGACTTCTAACTAGCAAATCTAACTTCTTTATTTCAGGTTCGGAACAAGGGTCCGAGCACTGTTGATGGGACGAAAGTTACCGTCAATTTTCCAAGCTTGTTTAAATCGTCGGATCCCAAAAGCTATCTGCTCTATCTTGTAGTTGTTGAAGTAAGTTAATAGTTCCAGTTGACCTTTGATACGCATGTTAACAAATGATTAACACCAACAACACGCACTATTGAGTTATAGATGCACACGGCAGGTTGTTAAGCACGAAAGAAGCATTAGAGTCGCGTAAGGCGATAGCCGAGAGTGGTACTAGCTTCTTGAGCGCGCGGAAACTATGCTTTGTATTTGCTCATGTCAGCAGCGCACACCAATGGGAAGATTGTGGAGGCTGAATTGAACAATCAGAGCGTGCACTTTACTTTGCATACGTTATAATTTGTTATATTTTGTAGATAGATCATCCATTCATTGAAATAAAGGCTGATAGTTTCGAAAGAAACTGTTTGGGGCTGCGTCGGTGGGAGTAACGAAATAATT